GGAATTAATCAAGTGCTAAAAATTTTTTTAACTAAATCGTCCAGTGACACAATTAGTCCAAATGCAAGTGCTACAAACACTTGTCAAGTACGAAAGAAGATACGAAGAAAATTTAAGCATAAGAAATCAAACGGAAATCTCCAAAGAGAGAATAAAAATTAAAAAAATGAATCAAGTCTAGAAATTAGCAAAAAAAGGAAACTATCCAAATCAGACAATTCTTTACCACCACAACCTCCACTTAAGAAGAAGAAGAAGAAGAATAAGAAAAGACAAAAACAAGGTGTAGGAGAAAATACCCAATTGAGTCTAATATAGAAGAAGCGATTTTAGACCAAAAATAGAAAGAAACACCTGTTTTATTGAACAATGGTTGGAACATGAAAGATATTCAATTGAGACCGAGCAAATAAAAAAAAACTAGAAAAATCTCCGAAATTAGAAAAAACTAAAAATTTTCATTCGAGAGACGAACTAAAACTGCAACGAAAATTCTGAAATTTATTTCAAATTGTTACTTTTTTAATGAAATTTACGTTGTTTTACATTTTTTTTTATTCCGATTGAGACAAACAAAAGTTTCGAAAAATAAATGCTAGAAAACATCAAAAAAGAGGAAAAAAAATTACAACCCACATATTTTGGTCCACATTCTTTGCCAAACGCTTCAAATCAAAACCAACTTTTGACTAAAATTGCAGTTGCAACGTTGCCAAATCATGACACACCATAATCGGTGTATTTTATTAATTTCTCTAATTTCCAATAAATTTTCCCAATTATTATGCAATAAGTCCAAACAAGGAAGAAGAGGTCGAGTGAGTCACCGGCACTGTGGGTGTAGGAACCGCCTGATCAGCCAACCTCGACGACGAAGAAGTCGTACTTGCAAAGGTGAATCAACCAATGTCAACTTTCACAAAAGAAAAAAAAATATTTTGGCCCTTATAAGGCGACTTCACCTTGATGAAATAAATGATTTGAGAAAAACTTGAAGAAAAGTGTTTAAGTAGGTCGCGACGTGCAAAATCGATTTCCGATACTGGGCCAAAGTGTCACCCTCATCAAACAGGTGTTTTATCACACATTTTTTACTCTATTTTAAGCACTTACTTGCATTTGGGCGAGTCTGGAAGTCATTTTCGGGCTGTTTGTTGCTCTATTGCATAGTTTTTTCCCTCCTCCTGTGGAAAAATAAAGATGATATAATGTATGACGTGCTTAAAACACAAATAAACCAAATAGGGAATGGTGTTAAAACACATTAAATCAATTTTGGTCTTGACGATGGCATCCAGAGACACAAAATTAAGCCCAAACTCACGTGAAAATTCCTTATTTTTGTGTGAATTTTTCGCAAGCGATGAAAAATCGACCGATTGCTGATACCAAGACGCGGTTACTGACTAATAACTCCAAGACCGGCAGAGGTTAACTGCCTTTGCTTTCATTCGTGGGCAACGTGTGTAACGGAGAATTTTTCCGATTCAACTCATTGTAAAATTTTCGAAATTTTTTTTTTATTTTGGCCTTAAAAACTGGATTTCCCACGAAGATTTGGGTTGAATCATCTTAACAATACCCTTGTTACCATGGAAAAATCTAATAAACCTAGAAATAATAAAACTGTTCTCATAGTTACGATATATTACCATAGAAACGTCTAAAAAATGTAGAAAAATAAGAGAAATGTTTATTAGTTTCCATGGTTTTTTATTAGAAATTAAATATCAAAGCACTCTAGACTGTTGTTAATTATTTATTAAATTAGTTATACAGATATCACAATAATGAATACACGCTTGCATTTTTCCACCATACACATGTATTGACATTGATTAATGAGAACAATTACGTGGATTGTCGAGTAATTAATTCTAATAATGATTGGGCGTAACTACAATCGAGAACAAATAAAATTAGTGTTGTTTTGGTCCCGATTTTTCTAAAATTACACAATTTTTGAATTAAAAATCTTGTGTTCATTCTCATTGATTCATCCCTCTAACTAGCAGGGTTGGAGTTTGGCTTACATTTAAATATTTCGTGGTTTTAGTAATTTTCTTGCACTCAGTCTTCAACTATGTGCGTTTCAATGCTAAATAATTACTTTTTTAGACCGGCAGTATAAATACAACATCTAAATTTACACAAATATATACAGGGTGATCCGTTTTTATCGTATTTTAAGACAAAAACTACTTGTAGCAATAATAATGCAACACCCTGTATATGAAAGTAAGTGCGATATAGATTGCTATTATCGTATCAACATGAAATTACTCCCTAGGATTTAGGGATATTCGTGAATAAATTTGATTAGGTTTTTTTTTGTAACAAACAAAAGATATCGTAACCAGTGTCAAAATTTAGGTTAAGTCGCCTGTCAGTTGACAGAAAACGTCCACCGTCAACTACAAGGGATAACCAATTTTAAGCATTCAAAATAACTTCTGAAAATTTTAGTTACAAACATAAAATTTTCCTAAAAGTGGTAATTTCTTGTTGACAATCTACCAGGTGAATAAAAAGTATGGAACCAAACGTTTTTTGCTTAAACTATTAATTTTTTAGAAAAACTAATTGATGCACGATAAAGTACTTTAAAGATATGATGTTTTATCAAGAATA